TATGCGCTCTGGCTAAACGCCACCTGGGAAAAATAAGAGACCAGTGTCTTTACAAATTCTGCACGCTGTTTTAGTCAACAGGACTCTCTTCACTGCTGGTATTACTCCACCATACAGAATCATCATATTCTTTAGCAAGAATATGTTGTCAGTTGCGGGCAGCAATTATAGTCTGGAAATGTCTGCTTTAGAAATGATCGACTCCTTTATATTAAAGAGATACATAACATGCCGAGAATATGAGACTGAAAGTACTTTAATGAATAACCAAAAAGACCTCCCAAATACAAGACAACTTAAGACAGTGTCAGTCTCTAAAGCTAGACTCCAAGACAACACAGCATTTTTAATGCTGTACACGTATATATGCATACACACACACGCGTGCTACACTTCAGCAAAGCTCCTATATAGTATACAGAGTGCATTTTATATATGTGTGTATATATTTCTACTAGTTAACATTCTACACTATATTAAGGACAATGAAAGTAAATACTTTCAGTCATACAATATTACTGCCTATCCTTACAGGGCTGGAAGAACCACCAATGACGGTATGCTTCAGCCTTCCCTGTAGTAAGAAAAAGCTGCTGTACATTTATGTTGCCTGTACTTCTGATACACAGAACTTAAACATGAGACAAGCTATCATTTTGGCAAATGACTAAAGTATTTTATTCTGTTTAGTTATATTGCTCCCTCACCTGCTTCAATTATTAGTAGAATACTACTACAAAATATTTTATTTGCAATAGAAGGAGTTGTAGAATGGTATTCTATACATAAAAATGCAGAAGGAGATGTGATTGGTATAGAAGTCTACCACTTAAAAGCTGACATATGTACGTAAGACAAATTAGCTTTAAGCAAGGTCTGTAAATAGTGACAAGCCAGAGAAGAAACTGCATTCTGCTCAGACTCCAGAACACATTAGCAGAGTGAATTTCCCCCACTTGCTTCACCAACTTCATTTACATCATAAACAGAGGACTCAAAAATCAAAGCAATATGAAAAGTAACACCAATGCCTAATCTGACAGTATAGAATTCAATGCTATAAAAATATAAGTTCTGATATTTCTACTATATCAAAAATTAATCACATTGTCAGGAAAAACATTATCTGCTACTGTTTTCTTTTCCTGACATCTCTTTTGGATTTTTGGCAATGTCTGACTTGCCGAGCCAAGGACATCTCCTTATATCCAGCATTGTGTTTTAAGCGTACGCTCACATTAAGAATGTGAAACAGCTGGGCTGCAGGGTTGGTGGGGGTGTTTTACACAGTCACAGCACTTCTCCTGCAGAACTACTATTTGAAGAAAAAAGAAAAAAAAAAAAAGAAAAAAGAAAATGCCCCCCTCCCCAAATAAAGTCAAGAACTCTATCAAACCAAAGGGGATTGGGGCCCTCTGCTCATAGCACATCTACAGCACAATCCAAGAGGCAGCTGCAGCCTGCAATCCCCAAACCCATGTGCAGCCACAGCTGATTGCCTGACTTACAAGTCACCTACCAGCTGTTGCTGGCACTGAGAGCTGCTGCCCAAGATGACCTGACAACTAGAGGAGTCAGGGACAAGAGTCTCCTCTCAGTCAGGGCACATTCCCCAGTGACAGATTAGCCTTGGGGCTCCCTCTTACACAGCTAGAGGGGGCATATACATGGAGATCACATCACCACAGGAGAGAGAAATTTGGCAGGACCACTGCAGGCCTGCTCCAGAATGCAACTGTTTTGAGAGAAGAGATGTTGCACAGAGCAGGGGAGCTAGGATCTTGCTCAGCTTTCTAACCTTAGCAAGAAAGGGGGAGTGATGAATATCTATTTATGAAGTTCTTTAAGCTTTAGAGTTCTTGGCATGTTTTATGTGCAAGTACTTTCAGAAGTGAGAAGGAAAACTCTTATTTGAAGTTTTTTGGTCATAACTTCTTACCTGCAGATGAAGACAGCCAGAGACGTCTGCTTAGGCAGTGGGCTTAGCGCAATCTGCTACTCCAGGCATAGGTGTCAACTCTGCTGACAAGGTCAGTTGCTAGAAGAAAAAATTGAAACATTGTTATACAGTAGTAAAACTACCTTCCTGGTAGTTTTGAGGGTAAAGGTCCTATTCCCCCTCCTCCCTTTAATGATTTGGAAAAACACAGTGTTCACCTAGCCCCTATAGATAATGGATATATAACAGCCTGCTACATACAAGTAGTTTTTTATTTTTTAAAAGTTAGTTCAAAAGAAATGTGGAATACTGCACTTAATTTGCTAGCTCTTATACCTGGTGTGACATTTTCCTGCTATAAATAACTAAGTGTGGTAAACAACATTTCAACAGCTTTCCAGAACATTAGGAAAAACTAAGCGCTGTATTAGGTAGTCACGAGCATCTACCACTGCTAAATTGTAAATATAGGAGATTATTTCACAATCTTCTTTTCTAATTTTCTTTTTAAGGAAAATAATCCTCCAACTGGAGGTCTTCCAGACATAAAAACCTCCAAGTGCTCTCAAACTGCATACCCTGACTCCCTTGCAGTAGTGAATCACGGCCAATGCATGTATAAGAAGTCAAACAAACTAGGCAAAGGGTAACAAATCCCAAACTGCTGATTAAGACTAATATTAATCAGCTTGGAAGGGATGCTTACTACAATGATGTTTAACAGCATCATTGTGACAGACTTACAAACATTGCCTAATATTATGTCATAGCCAAGGAGAACATGTGAGAAGTGGTTATTTTTAAACCTTCACCACCAAAGACTTTCTGAATAAAATTTTAAAGGAACATACCTATTATGCATAACACTAAATGGGAACTTTACAGTCTGACAGAAGCATAGAAGAATAGATCTAAGTCAGGAAGACTTTCCTCTAGTCTTTTAGTGTCTCCTCTTTCACTGTTGTCAGCCATTGAACTTTGTCAAGACAAACTGTTTTTCTCCTAGTAGCTGTCAGAGCTACATGAAAAGATTCAATAAGCACCAACTCCAGCGTAAGCATGTCATAAGGGTCCAGAAAACAACAAAAACCTCTTAAAGATCTGGAAAGAAAAGACTGGCCTGTTGTAAAATACTAGACCACACGCACTATGCATCGAAGCCCTATAGGAGTAATTACTTCTTTCATTATGGCCAAAAACTTCAAAATAGGACATTCAGGAGCTCCAGAGATCTCAGGCACATATCAAATCGTTTTCACCACCACCAGCTGAATACATAGCTTTCATTCACAAACCAATATTCATTAAATTCCCAAGTTGTCAGAAAATGCTTTTGTGACGTTTTGTGCTTTCCACTCTGTGAACCCACTAACAATTACCAATGGTTCACATGAGCCTTTTACTTTAGCTCTGAAATGACCATAACCAGTTTTTGGTGAGTTTATGCCTCTCAGCTGAGAAGATGTAATTTCATACAAGGAAGAAGTGCTTATTAAACATCCTTAATATATTTGCTTGCAGTTACATTATAGAACATTGCTTTAGATTCTCTGCTCGGGTTTATTCACCACGTAGTCATAACTAGGGTCAAACAGTTGTAGATAATGCTGAACATTCATTTAACCCACCACATAAAGGTTAAATCACCAGTGCTTGAGCCCCAGTTACTTATCAGTCCCCATATATACATGCTAGATTAGGAAAATAAATCTGGTTGTAGGATACAGATGGTGACTCAGTTAATCCAGAGACATACATGCTTGAATTTTGCTGGGGAGGGAGAGGTAGAGAGGAGAGAAATATCGTCTCACCCCAAACTATGAGAGCTCAGCTTCAAGATGCTAAAGTTGTCTTCATCTATTGCAAACTGACCAACTGCCAAGACACAAGTTGTAAACATTTGAGTTACTGTTCCTTGTTAACTACTCCAGAATAGTTTGCACAACAGGCAAAGAATAGTGGATTTTTAACCTGAGAATGGAAATGCTGATCCAGCAGTAAGGACCAACACTTCCACTCAGACAGAGCCGCATTATCTTTAGTTCTATTGAAGCACTAAAGCTCTTCTCAGACCACTTTGCAAACTGAGTGGGAAGGAGTAAGGATAAGAGCCACATTCTGTCCTTAGGGACCCTTATTAAATCAGATTCTCAACATCAGCCACTTCCTTTTCGTTTTCCTCAAGCCATATGGCTTCCTGACAAAATCTGTACAAACAATAAATCCATTAATCAAGCCACTGTTGGAGGAAAAGGCTTTTTTTTTTTTCTCTTCCCTTCATCAATTCAGACACTTTAATGGAGATGTTTTATATATTTTATTTTATGGAAGTCCCAAGGAAAATACTAAAGCCTTCTTTGTTCTCACACTGCAGCCGTGTAGACTGGAGCCCCAATTCCAGTACGTACTTGTAGAAGGAGATTCCTGACATGTTAAAATGCAAAAAGATACAGGAATACAGAGAAGTCAGTCAAGTCAACAAGAAAGGGGTCCAGCCTTATTGGATCTATTAGTAGGGATACAGTATAAATTGCTGCCTTGGCTCCCTAACATACTGTGTGAAGAAACAAAATAACAAAAGCTACCTTTTTTTTTTTTAATTAATAGAAGTAGGTAGAACAAGAGAGGCATTAAAAGTCATTTCTGTTCCTACAAGGCTCTGAGGAGACGCACACATGCAAATGCCAGAAGTAGGCCACAAGCAGCTGAAAGGAAGAGCTTCTTTTAAGAGATGCCACAATAAAGGATTGTGGGTTGACGGTTGAACTCGATGATCTTAGAGGTCTTTTCCAACCTCAATGATTCTATGATTCTATTCTATGATTCTATTCTAAGGACTTCCCCAGAGGCCAGATTTCTTAGCAAGGTGAACCAAGATGACCAATTTCACACAATATGCTACATAATCTGTTTGGCAGCTCCAAACTGGTAAAATCATGCAGGTGATCATGTTAGTCTCAGATCATGAGGAAATAAACACTGCACATGCAAGGAACTCCATGGTAGGGAGGAAACACAGAAAGATGAGTAAGATTTCTAGCTCTTGTAGGTGGGAAACTCCCTTTCTAGCAGGTGGGAAGATCCCGTTCTCCTGTGGGAGAGGGGAGCAAAGAATTAAAACCAAACCTAAGCAAGGCTCATTGCTTCACCAAACCAAACATAAACTTGAGAGACTGCTCAGTTTCAGTTCTTCTGCTCTGTGCCAGTGGGCACAGGAGTATGCCAGCTTCACACTGCTGCAGGGTAAAATTCTGTTCATAAAGAATATATATACGCTGTTGGGCAAGCACATAAAGAAGTGAAAGTATGGCAAAGCTTTCCCTTTCTTCCTATTCGATCAATAGGCTCAAAGAGGGTACGAGGCTGAGAATTCAAGAGCACAGAAAAGATAACAAAAGAAACAAAGACCTAATTTTCTTTGCTTGCAACAGCTTTTTTGCAACATCAGACCATTCTTGTACTCTCAGATGTCGCTTTGAGACGCATGTGGAGTCTATGTTATCCCTGCCTATCCCAAGCAACTATTTGCCTCACACCTTGAAGCCAGCCTATGCAGAAAAGAAGGGGTTTCCTAGTGATGATGGAAGAAGGGAGAACCAAAGACAATTCATCATCTGAGTATATGATGGCATTACCAACAAAAGCAAACTGAACAAGGTTGATGTGTCAGTCACCACTTTAGACAATATGAAAATGCAAAATGTCTGTTTTGAGGATCTGTTCCCACTGATGTTTTTTCCAAAACTTCTCTGACTAAACTTTTATTGCTCAATAGTCTGCAGTGCAGGAGGAAGACTGGGAAGAACAAGAAATTACTTCCAAATTCAGGTGGTCTCTTTCAGTCAAACATTTCTAAAGCAACTGCGACCCTTCCACTCACATAGAAGGAAAATAGGATTGGCATGGTAACAAATCTTTTTACCTTAAATCATGTTTTATTTGCTTCACAGATGTTCTATAGCTTAGTGGATGACCAAAACTGTGTCCCAACTCACGTGAAGCTAAGTAATCCTCTGTTGAAATGAAGTTCAACACGAGGAGAAACACAAAGCAGTTTATGACACTAAAAAAGACCTTGTGGAGAAACAGCATTAAAAAAGGAATGAAGTTGGCTTTTCAAAAGTCCTTTTTTTTAAAAAAAAAAAACAAAACAGGAAAGCAGCATCCTTGATTACAAGCAGGAAATCTTTAAAATGAAAGCCTTTTCTGTCTTTTTTGAAGTTAAGCAGCAATTATCCATAAAGGAAAAAAATATGGAAAGAGTAATCTCAAAAGATTGAGTCATTATCTCCAAGGAGACACATCTGTAGTTTTAACAAGGTTAGAATGTTTTGGTCAGTTCTTTGGGATAATGGGAAATACAAAATGTTAGCTTATGTTGCTATCAACGTAATGACAATTCTGAAAGACCGCAGACATCACATGTAGCCTACCACTATGAATTATTAGCCTTGAGGTCACAATCTAAAAATATACACCATCATATCCAAAGTACAGATGGATTTGTAAATGCCTTGAGGTACTGGTGAAAGGTATGTTTGTTTTGGACAGAGTAGTGAGGAAGATCAGGTGCTGCGAGCTAGGGAGGCCTTCCACCACATTCGGGTCAGATGGTCCCAATTATCTTCTCATCACTGTTAATCAAAAGTTATCCTTCAGCAGCTATATAATGACCTATGTAAAAATAAATCTGGGATTGGTGTCTGGCTCCTAGCAAGGAAAAGCTTCCCTGTTATCAGTTAGTGCAAGAAGCATCCTTGATTGAAGTCTCATTAAAAAGCCTGTTGTATGAAAGTCTGCAGGTGCGAGATGGTGTCTTCCCATCAAGTGTCGGAATGTAAGAAAGGTCAACAAGAAAATTTAGGGGTATAGCAGTGGAGAGAAGGTAGTTCTCCCTCCTGCTAGCTCACTATTCTGTCCTTTCTGACCCTATCGATAAACAGCATGTGCTCCCAAAGTAACAGTATCTGTATCAGCCTATTTTGGCTACTGCTCTTACCTATGGGGAAAAGACTGATCCAAACTGGAAGCAAGACACATTATTAGGAGAATATAAGGAGCAT